TTTCTTCTTCCTTATCCGCGCATCTGCTCTTCTTTCTTCTCCCCTGCACCCGACAAGCCCCCCCAAGCCACCGACTTTCTTCCCTCTTGAAAAACCCGGTGAGATCTTGATGAATTTCTCTTCCTTTCTTGTTAAATCACAAGATTTGGGGCTTAGAATCTTCCCTCTCAGCCCAAAAAATCCCAGTTCTACTCTGCTCTTCTCCCCTATCCGCCGGCTGCTATGTGGGTGGGAGATTTTGGGCCTTTTTCTGGTAAGATCTAGCCATGAATCCCTTTCTTTTAGCCTTAAATTAGCTTGGGTTCATGTTAAATGTGTTGTTTCTCCAGAATTTTGATAGATTTCCCGTGAGCTTTCTTCTTCCATGCCGCCGGCCTTTCCCCAATCTGCAGCTCCAGTTTTAGCTGGAGAATTATGGTATGTGACAGCCTTTTAAGGCTTAAATTGTTCATTTAGTTTGCTGGCTATGTATGTCCGAATTTTGCTAGAAAAATGGGGAAGAATTTGATAGCTTTAGGACCATGATTAAGCTTAATTGAAGTGGGATTTATGTGATTGAGTGTTAATTGACTACTGTGTGATTTTTGGAGAAAATCCCGTGAATTAGCTAGTATTTTGGCCAATTTTGGAAGTGCAGTTACTGTTCACGGTACTGTTCATAGGTACTGTTCACACCTCGAGATTCAACGATTAACGAGGATTTAAATGATTAGTTTGTGATATAAGAACGAAATTGGAGTTATCTGATAATGTGGAGATTGATAGGAAATAGCATTGTGATTAGGGGATGATCCTAATGATGATTTCAGTTTGAATTTGTGATAGTTCGGTAATTAATTCGTGGATATTTTGATTAGGTTCTTGATCGTTCTGTCAGTTTAGTACGTGACTTGAGTGCTCGGTTTTGTGGAGTGAGGTAAGTAGATTATGGTAATGCCCTTCGATTTTAAAAGCATGTTTCGATTTGTTTTTGAAGTGGTGGCGGGACTAAACCCGTTTTACACAAGTATGACTGATTTGAAGTGAAATGTTTTATGCTTTCATTAAATTGAGCATGCCTACTTGAAATTTAAGTGACTGTCCTGATGATTTGAAAGTGATCGTGAATTGTGATTTTCCTGTTAACTTCTGCCTGTTTTGTCTCCGATGTGGTCATGTTATTCATGACCCTGCTAGTGGGGGAGGTTATAAACACTAGCACATGTCGGCACATGTCGATATGTTATTCGTGACCCTGCTAGTGG